AAAATATTTTTATGCAAGAGAGAAACCATTAAATGGGTACCTTGATCAGAAGATATACCTGTTTAATAGTCTAGTTTTAGTGTACAATTTTTGACTTAATTGCTGATTACTATATTTTGAACTTGTCTATTGTGCCAAATCAGGTACCTACAGGTTGAGCACTCAGTTAAAAACCATTTTGATGGAACTGGTTATGTGGCTTCCATTCACTCTTCCACGAAAGGTATGGAGTGCAGTGTTAATGCACAACCTTCTATGTCAGGATGACTGAGGGAGTGAGTGATAGAGCTCCCTTGTTTCATGACCTGGTGGAGGAGGAATATCCTCAAGAAAACTTTCAACTTTCCCTCCTGTTTCCTCTATATCCTTCTTGTAAATGCTCAGTTGTTCAGAGTTTGATTATTTGAGCCTGTGCACTGTTGATGTTCACTATCTCAATTAGTTAAGACTGGGTGTAGCCTTGGAGAAAACTAAACAAGCTGTAAGTATGGAGCAGGAATTTTTAATAACTGTGAATAAAACTTGTTACACATGCACTTGCTCACACACGAATTAGTCTTTCATTTCTGAATAGCTCAGAGACCCATAATGTATACATCTCTCTGCTATAACAACCTTTTTGGCCTCACGACCCTGTCAATTCCGTAAAGATTAAGGGGAAAACCTAGATGCCTATGGCAAACACTCCCTTTGCTGGTATCTTATAAGGCAAAGTTACCTGACACTCAGCCTTTTAAGGCAAAGTCTTCAGATAATTTCTGGAATAAATGTTGCTTGACCTTTGTAGCCTGGGAAAAGTGCTGTACAGTGTCTTCTCATACGATTTAAAAAGTGCTCTTAATCACAAAGGGCAAGAAAAAGGTGTCATAATAGTATTCAAAATCCTCAGCAGCAGCTAGTTCGCTTCCATTTAGCTCCGTGCGGTTAGAAAAGGGCATGAGGTCAAGTACTAGCCACAAAGTTCAGTACTGTCTTATTAATGAGGGCTGGCAGGAACTTTTTAAACTGTTTTATCAGTCTTCTGGGCAGCATTCATGCTGTGTATGTGAACTCCTTTCTGCATTGGCTTCTTGCACGAAACGTGGGCTAAACAAACATTTCAGCTTAAGCCGCTTCAGAGCCTCAATACAGCCTTGAGTAACCAGGGAACATCACTCCAACACTTTTATGGACGTTCTTTAACCTGTTGGGCAATTTCTTTTTATTTCCGCTGAATAGTATTCCAGGACAATTTATGCTGTTTGCTTTGAGGGATTATAAGTTGCATTGAAGGCAACCTACAGGCACAAGTTTGAAAACAAACACCTGCAGGTCCCAATGTTCAATCGCTTTTTGTGTCCCTTCAGGTGAAATATATAGCATAGTCTATTATCACCAGGCCATGGCTCTGAATTTTCCTTAGGAAACACGTGAGGGCTATTTGGCAGGATATCATTTATCACGTCCTCCCCTGTAACTGATTTACGAATATATACTGTTTTGATTCCAGCTTTTGTTGCTGCTGTACAAATCCAATCCCAGAATGAAATTTGGTCTGATAGATCTTTTTTTCTTTAATTTAAAGTGATGGTCTTTCACTGGAACATAAGCACCCAAGGCTGCAGATCTGGTTTTAACAGTAAAACAGATGTTTATTATGCAAAAGGAATAAAAATAAACAAATCAAGCTATCTAAATATAACACAGGTTGAAAGATTGTAAACCACACAGCAAAACAAAATCCCTTTATTCCCCAGCACAAGTTTATGAACAAAAGTCTTGAGAAGCTAGTACTTGCAAGTCATCCAGAATTCCTTGTTTTACATTAGTCTTGTATTTAAAGTATGCATTCAGTCTATGAAATTGGCTCCCCACAGTTTTGTCTGTTGCTACACAGGTTGGTTGTGTACCTGTAAATAGTACAATGTCTCTACTGCAAAGTGATTTCAGAAATAAATGAACAATTATTTTCCTTCTCTCGTGCATGATCTTGAGATGTATTAATCATAAAGCAATTGAAGTTTCAGTTTATCGAGTTTATGATGCTTGCTCACAGTGGCTCAGTAGTTAGCACTGCTGCCTAACAGCACCAGGGTTCAATTCCACCCTCAGGCAACTGTGCAAGCTCCACGCAGACATTCTCTTGGGTTTCCTCAAGGTACTGTGTTTTCCTGCCACAGTTCAAAGACGTTCAAATTTGGTGGATTGGCTGTGCTAAATTGCCCATAGTGCCCAGGGATATGCAGTTTGGGTGGATTAGCCATGGGAAATGCAGGGTTCCAGGTTTGGGATTGGTGGTGGTGGTGGTGGTGGTGTTCTAGGTGGGATGCTCTTTGGAGGGTTGGTGTGGACTTGATGGGCCAAATAGCCTGCTTCCACACTTTAGCGATTCAGTGGTTCCATTCTATATTCCAACAGTTAGATTCTGAGTTTTTTTCAGGGCTACCACATGGCGTAATCCACAACTTTATTAGTTTAGGTGTGATTGTTGCAAATAATAATGTGTTTGGCAACACTATCCTTGAGCTTGTGTATGGCTGCTTTGCAGCTACTGTGAATGCTTCCCTCTCTGAATTAAACATTTTGTACACACCTATGTTTTTTGTACGAGTCTTAATAATATACGTCCTCTAGTGTTATAAAGACAACCATCCACCTGATTAGGTTCCTTACACAACTGAAAAGTTTTTTTTGTGAATATTGTGGTTTGGCACTTAGTTTGTTTCAGTATTGATTTAGGATGAAACAAGCTTTGGCGTTTATAAAGTGCAGAGACTTGGAGCAACACTGTCTTATCTACAATGGCTTTGACATTTTCTTGGCATGTCATGCTTGTAGCTTTCACAGAATCAATTAATTTTGGATTTAACCCCAATGGTATGTCGAGGACATAAATGTTGCTCAAGGCTGTGTCAGCAAAATGAAATCGATTATGACTGGAAACAATAGTTCAATCCCATCTAATTATTCATAATTGTCTTGGAAATGCACAGACATATTGAGGTTGAAGGACAAAAACAGGCAACAAATGGATGCTATGCAAAAAAGACACAACCTTTTGAAAAAAAACCTTTTGAAAGTCTGGTTTTAGCATGCAATTTTGGTCTTAATTGTTTCTTATCATAATTTGAACTTGCTCAGAGGTGTTAGACACCTGCAAATTTGGCACTATGTGGTAACGTGACACAAATTTTATGGAGCAGTTTGTGACCTCGACTCACCCGTTTCAAATGGAGATGTGGTGTTTGCTGCTTGATGTACAGCAGCACGTTTCAGCATTGCTCAGAGACTGAATGCAAGGGAATACTTGAGGTTACAAAAGCATCAGTCATGGTTTCAGAAGCAGAAATTGTGGGACACAGATTAAGCCTTGTCAATAAATAGGTTTGGTGATGAATTTTCCTACTGCAAAGGCCAAAATACAATGAAACAGATATGCCAACTGGAACAGTTATTTTTCCTTCTGAAACTTCTAAGGTGGCAGGTATGCTGGTACATTTCCATAGAAATCCATGTGACAACTCCAAGATATGTGAAACCCTCCCAACCCACTCACCATTAAAGCTGGAATGGTGTGACAAGCTTTAAACTTAATGTAATGTCCCAGTAAGAGCGATGAACCAATCCTGTAAAATTTATTTGTTATTTGAAAAGAACCCTCAATATCTCCCTAACCCACTGGAATATCAACCCTGAATTAGCACACAGTAGAATTATAAATGTTCCATCTAACAATCTCACAAGGAAAGTTTACAAACATCTGTAATTATGTTGATTAATATCATAAAAATTTCTATACCATAAATTTTAAGGCATTATAACTTGTCTATAAGAAGACTATAAGGCTTTCAAATTAGGTGATTTGTTTTTCTTATATATATATGAAGGTAGAGAGTGAGCCATCTCTGCGTCTTGTTTGAAAATGTAATTTCAAACCCAGATTGAGTAGAGTGAACCCGTATTATCTTTAGAAATAGTGAGAGGCGATCTCAGTAAAATGTAGAAGATTCTTAGAGGGTTTAACGCAGTAGATGCTGTCACCCTGGCTAGCAGGTCTACAACTAGTGGCAGTGACTCAGGATAAGGATGCTGGCCATTTAGAGTTGAGTTGAGAGTAAGTTTCTTCACAAGGAGTTCAGAATCTTCAGAATTCTTTACAGATTGTGGATGCTCACTCATGGAGAATGTTCAAGATATAGATCGACAGCTGTTTCAAGATAAAGGGAATTGAGGGATAAGGCAGGAAAGGGGAGTTAAAATAGAAGGGTAGGTTTGATGGGCTGTGTGACCTACTCCAGTTCCAATTTCTAATATTCAAAGCAAAAAATTTTTTTTTTTTCTCTGTAATCAATTTAGCTCGAGGAAAATGGAGAACTCAGCTTGGCTTTCTGCTATAAGTGTTTGTATCAAAGAGATAATTGAGGTTAATTGTTTTCTTGTATTTTGAAATAGGTCTAACAGTATTTGTGAAAGTCTTTTCATTTCAATCTGGTATAATTGATTGCATTTTCTTATTTTATTTGTACTGTGATATACAGGGTGTTCATCAATTGTTCATCAGTTATAGAAGGTCAGATTTCAGGCATTCATGCTTGAGATAAAAAGGCTCATTATTCATACCATCTCCCAGATAACCCACTTCATAAGGTCACGCTTTGGATCCTAAGCGTGCACTGTTCTGCTATTGCAGTTCCTTTGAACTGTAACTGCACATAGTATGTGGAATGTGCTGATTCTGATCAGTGAATCATAGAATCGTAGAATCCCTACAGTGTGGAAACAGGCCCTTCGGCCCAACAATCTTAAAATCCACGTTGTCCACCTTTCCCTCCTATAGACTAAACTCATCCACTTCAATCCTCAATTGATGATGATAGCAAATGGTGACTGTTATCTGTGCAGGTCACGGAGGATGGTTAGTCACATTGTGGCAGTAGTTTAATGGTATAAACAAATGCACTCGAAGCAGATTGTGTCACCAGTGGCTACAATGATCTTTTTTCACCCTTGTATCTTTGCAGGACCACAGTAAAACTAAAAGAAGAAGTGAAAATGGAGAAGAAATCTAGTTTCTGGGACAGTTTAGGAATTAAACAAAATTCGGCCAGCAAGATTCCCACAGAGGATGAGGGTTGGGATCCACAGGTAAAGGTGGAGAACCCTTGCAGCGGTCTGACTGATTCCAGTGCCTGGTCTGACTGGACGAGTGAGACTTGTGGCAGTTCCAAATACACTAGCCTGGACAGTGAAACAAACACAAGTGGCTCCAAATGGAGCATTATGACAGCAGGGAAGCTGCCAGGTATCAGGAGACGTAGCAAAGGAAATCTGACTGACTGCTGGGAAGAGATAGAGTGATATTTAGTTGTCTGTCTTAATGTTAATCCAAGATTTAGTTTGCACCATTCTTCACTTCTTGTATTTATAGTCATGCTTTCTATGGATATTTTCTGAGTCAACATTTTGTTTCAAATTCTGAGAGATTTTGTGCACTAGTGAAGAAATCGGTGTCTGATCAGCACTCTATTTTAATTAAGTGTAAGAGTTGATAACCTCCTTTCTGTTTGTGCCATAATTATTCCAATACATGCAAGTACACATTTTCCATTCAGAAGACCTTTCATAGTAAATTGCTCCCTTAGTATTCATTATTTGTGACTCTTTGACATCAGCTTAACTGAGTGCCTAAATATAGTTATATATATTAATATTTTATCTCACATTTATCGAAAGAAAACAAGTTCTCACGACCCTTTTTGTACCTTGTAAAGGAGGTGCTGGAACGACTACTAATGGTACAAGTGATATTGCCTTTAGTTGAAGGAAGAAACCACTATTTTTGCTCCTCCTTTCCAAGTGTAGCTGTGCTGTATGATGTTCTGTTAGTCTGTGTGAGGAGATAAAATTCCATTCAGTCACTGAATTCGAATGATCGTTGAAGCTTGGATTTGTATGGAGGCCAGTGTCTTGCCAGCACTGGGTGTCGTTCTGGGCCAAATGTGCCTCGCATTATTAGCTTGTTTTGGCAAGCATTCTAGAGCAACCCAGTGTCCAGTTACAACAGACACCACTGTGTGAGATAGTTCATGTGAGTAATCCAAAAATCTTCAGTTCAATTTGTGCTGTGTTGGTAATGTCATTGGATTGGTAATCTAGAACCCCCATGCTAATGTTCTGGGGACATGGGTTTGAATTGCACTATGGCAGATAATATTTGCATTCAATAAAAATCTGGAGTTAAAAGCTGCTGTAATGATGACTATGTAAGTATTGTCAATAGAACCCATCTGGTTTTCTAATGTCCTTAGGGGAAGGTAAATCCTTACCTGGTATGACCTGCATGTGACTCCAGATCCACAGCAATGTGACTGAGTCTTAACTGCCCTTTAGGTACTTAAGGACAGACACCAGCCAGTGATGCCAACATGCATTTTTTAAAAAAGCCCTGATCAGCGATATTATGTGTTATACACCTTTTTCTATTTTTACAAACATCAATTTTATAGCCTCTCACCTGAAGAAACTAGTTTCTGTTTAGATACAGTAGTAGTATTCTTCATACAATTCCATGATGTGAATGTGAAGAATGAGGGTTCTTGATCATGAGAATTGTTATAAATCCAAATCCCTACTCCCAAGGACATTTGCATGCTTCCACCAATAGAATAGGAATTAAAGCTAAGTTGTTTCTTTGATCACAATTGGAGACATTGGGTCTAATTGTATAATACTGAATTACGTCTCAATAAAGAACAGCAACACAGCAGTAATGCACAGTGTGTACTGAGGTAGTGAATATGGCGAAGGTGCAAAGGAGACATTTTCTTCAAAGACAATTTCCTAACTGAACTGTACTCCAAACAAGATATTTTCCAAAGCATCTTAAAAATATTTTAACAGCTGTAGATTGAAACCAGATTTTATAAATCTGTGCCTCCAGATTTACACATGCCTTTCTAAGACTGAAAATCTGTTTCATATTTTGTCTTAAATCTTTTGTATAAAATCTCCAACAATGTGTTTTGTGCGTACAAATTGTTAATGAAGTACAATTAGAGAAACACTGGGCTGAACTAATAGTTCACGTAATAAGCTGCTGACAAAGTAGTTTTATGAAAGGATTCTAACACCTATTTTAGGCGTCATTAAGGGTCAACTGTATTAAATTTCTCATGGTTCTCTCTCCTTTTTACATTTGAATTGCATAAAACTAATTATGAAATTAGAATGAAAATGTTTAGGAACGAAGTGAAAAAGTAGTTTCTCATGAGGAGGGTGTTAAAAACTTGGAAGTTCCTTTCTCTTCTTTCAATTCTCCCCATCCACATCACTCAAAAGTCTGTGCTCATTTTGCCAATCAACATGTTCAGTTTGAGATTGATAAATTTCTGTAGTTTAAGGTATCACAGGCTATAATGTAAATGTGAGTACGTTGGGTTTGAAGCACAGATCAGCCATGTTCTAAATTAGCTACAGAGATTGAATTATCTACTGCTTTTGCTGTGAGTTTCTCTGTGTCAAGTAGTGACACAGTTGCGATGACTGCTGTTCAGGTTGGCTTAGCCTTCTCATACTCTCTAACAAATTTTGGGCATGGCCTGACACTCATGGAACCAAATCCCAACAAGGAAGCACCCAAACAATGGAGGATGTTCATGGTTGCCTTTTCTCATGTCGATTATTCTGAAATTGTGCTATAGTTCCTAAATTAGACTTAAGCAGGAGATTTTTGCATGCCAGCTATGTGGTGCTAGTGTAACTTTATGGTACCATGTGCAAAAATATTTCTGATATGATGCAAATACCAGTGGCCGGAGTATCTTAGTTGACTAATGGATTGAAATAAATTCCATCCTTGAATTAAAAATGTATAACCAGGCATATGCTACAAAAAATGTAGTTCATTGAGTCGTTCGCAAAATTTCATAAAATGAATGAGTAAAAACATAGAAGTAAAGCGTTATAGCTCTTAATGTTTCAATTACGCCTTTGAAATCTGACCATTTTAAATAAGATCTTTAATCATTGAAGTTTTGCTATTTGTGTTATAATGTAGGGTGGTCAGGTTTCAAGGTTCATTGCTCCATTAGTTAGAAGCATGTTATTACGATTAAAGCATAAATAACCAAGTAGTGGTTCTGGTTTAGGAAGGAATGTAATAAAATCATTTTAAAGCAATGAGTGATTCATTAGGTGTTGCCTCTGATAAGACTGCTTAAAAGCTAACCCTACCCCAGTATCTACTTAAAATATTGTTGGAAGACTGATTATGTGCTGGAGGGGAAAAAAAAACTACTAGAGTTTTGCCATTCTTCAGTGATGTATAGTTGGCACATGATGATAGGAGTACAAAATTGTTTTGTTAAATTGCATCTCAGGGTGATAATACACTTTAATTTTTAGAAAGGTCACTTTTTTGACATGCTATCAGGTAGTGCAAGCTTCAAGATGGATCAACATTTTAATGTGTGAAACCTTTCTAGTTTCTTGGTTTTCTGCAAGATCATTGTTTCATTTTCTAACACAAACTTTTGTTACTTTTTGTCTGCTTACAGGGCAAACAATGCTGCCAAAGTAATTTAATACACAAATGAAATATATTTCTAATTGCCAGATCAAAATTTCTGGTATACATACTATATACTTTATTGTTTATTTGTGAACTGAACAAAGGCAGACATAATAAATAAATATAACTATGCAATATCTGTGGTATCGTTTGGACATTTACCTTGTTAAACTTTAAAAGGTGGAAGAATCATTTTCTTTTAATACATTGTTGTTATAAATGTATCTTTGTAACCAATGAGAGATTTTACCATCTGAACATGATAATATAATTTAATGCAAGGCTTCTCACTTGGTAAACGATAAGTACTCTCATTTGATTTCGATGTGAAACTTAAAAGAAATTATAAAAGCAGAAGACATTTCATATTGAGAGTTGAATTTGAATCTTGATTCATAGTTAGCACCTTGTTTTCTCTGGATGCATTTTTTTGGCCAGACAATACTGCTCTACATCAATAAAATATTATAACAACAACATTTTTTTACTTTTCACTTACTTGGAAATGTAGAATTTATTGATATGCATTTAACAAGCTTCCAGGAGGTGATGCCGAAATATAATTCTTCTCTCTAATCAACATTGTACCGTTATTGCCAATTCTCACTTGCAGCAAACTCAAGGTGGAAAATTCTGGAAAAGAAACATCGAACAAATCGAATATGTAAAATTAAACCTTTCTTTTGAGTTGAGAGGTTTCCAAAAATACAAGAAAGAGGAAAAAATCTTAAGGTCTACAAAGATGAATCACAAGCAAATAATTGAAATTATCAATTAAAAAGGACAGTGAAACCTAAAATACTGACAGTGAATTTTCTCACTGTTATGCCATTGTTTGAGAAAACTTTGGATTTGCCAATTGATCATGAGATAAGATTCTCTTTACTAAGCTTGGTATAGTGTTTTGTATTGAACACTTGTAAAACTGAAGGAAATTGAGTTGTGGGCACAGGCTCCAAAATAAATATGCCAACCAGGAATAACACTTTCATTTCAAGGATGGTGTGCAAAAGTAAAAAGTCTTGCTATGATTCTGTAACACCTCGGTGAGACTGTGTACTGTTTTATTTTCCTTCCTTGATGGGGAAAATATACATGCATGGTCAGAGTACATCAAATGTGCACAAGATTGATTCCAAGAATGAGAGAGCCCAGAAACAAATTAGAACTGGCATTGACTATTTAGAAGAATGAAAGCTGATCTTACTGAAATGTGTAAAATGCTGAGGGTTTGACTGAGGTAGGTGCAGAGATGATGCTGTTGTTGGCTGAAGATGTGAAAACTAGTGATCATAGACTTAAAATGAGGGGGCTGCCAGTTTGAACTGAGGTGTGGACAAATTATTTCAGGCTTTGTATTCTTCGATGCTTTTTTGTTTAGATTTTTGGATGCTCACTCAATCAACATATCCAAGACAACAGATATTGATAATTATCAAAGGACATGAAATTAGCTCAGGAAAATGAAGTTGATTTGGTGAGATGGTGGCATAGTGGTAATGTCACTGAACTAGCATTCCAGAACCTCAACCTAATGTAAGACAGGCATAGAGTCATACAGCACAAAAACAGACCCTTTGGTCCAACCAGTCCATGCTGAACATAATGCCAAACTAGACTAATCTCACCTGCCTGCTCATGGACCATATCCCTCCAAACCTTTCCTATTCATGTATCGATCCAAATGTCTTTTAAATGTTGTAATTGTACCCACATCCACCACTTCCTCAGGAAGTTCATTCCACAGGCAAACCACCATCTGTGTAAAAGATTTGCCCCTCATCTTTTTTAAATCTCTCTCCTTTCACCTTAAAAATGTGCCCCCTAGTCTTGAAATCCCCCATCCTAGGAAAAGGCAACTACCATTAACTCTACCTATGTCCCTCATCATTTAAACTTCTATAAGGTCACCTCTCAACCTCCTATGCTCCAGTGAAAAAAGTCCCAGCCTATCCAGCCTTTCTTTATAACTGAAATGTTCCATACCGGGCAACATCCTGGTAAATCTCTTCTGAACCCTCTCCAGCATAATATTCTCCCAATAGCTGGGTGACCAGAACTGGACACAGTATTCCACAAGAGGTCTCAAAATGACTGCCCAACTCCTAAACTCAAAGGACTGAGCAATGAAGGCAAGCATGCCAAATGCTTTTTTAACCATCCTGAATATATATGATGTAAACATCAAGAATTATGTACTTACACCCTTTCCAAGGCCCTACCCTTGTTTGTTTTACCAAAATGCAATATCTCACATTTATCCAGATTGAACTGTATCTGCCATTTTCAGCCTATTGACCCATATTGGCCTATTTGTAATCTTAGCAAACCTTCTTCACTGTCTACTGTGCCACCAATTTTGGTGTTGTCCGCAAACTTACTAACCACGCCTTTTATATTCTCATCCGAATCATTTATGTAAATGACAAACAAAAGAGGACCCAGAACTGATCCCTGTGGAACACCATTAGTGACAGGCCTCCAAAAAATAACCATCTACCATTACTCTCTGTCTCCTGACGTTAAGCCAATTTTGTGTCCAATTGGCGAACTCACCCTGAATCCCATGTGACCTAATTTTACTAATTAATCCACCATGTGGAACTCTGTCAAAGGTTTTAGTAAAAAACAACAGCTACTGCTCTGCCATCATCAATCTTCCTCAAAAAAAAATCAATCAAGTTACTGAGATACGACTTTCCTCACATAAAACCATGTTGATTATCCCAAATCAATTTTTGCTTCTCTAAATGTCCACAAATCCAATCTTTTACAATCACCTCCAACAATTTACCCACAACTGAAGACAGACTCACAGGTCTGTAATTCCCCAGTTTTCCTTACATCCTTTCTTAAACAGAAGTACAAGCCACTCTCCAGTCACCAGGCACCTCACCTGTAGTTATAGATGATGCAAATATTTCTGCAAGGTGTTTTGTAATTTTCTCTCTTACTTCCCACAACTTTCTGGGATATATTAGATCAGGTCCCAGAGATTTATCCATCTTTATATTCTCAAAGACCTCCTGAACTTCCTCCTCTGTAATGTGGACTGTTTTTAAAACATCAAAGTTTATTTCTCTGCATTCTCTAGACACTATTTCTTTCTCCACAGTAAAATCTGGCACAAAATATTCATTTAGTATCTCTCCCATCTCCTGGGGTTCAACACAAAGACACCCTCCTTGATCTTTAAGAGGGCTTACCCTCTCTCTAGTTACCCTGTTGCTCTTAATGTATTTGTAGAACCTTTTTGGATTATCCTTAACCTTAAAACGCCAATGCTCTCTCATAGCCCCTCTTTGCCTTCCTGATTTCTCTCTTAAGAATGTCCCTACACTCTTTATATTGATTAATAGATTCAATTGATCCAAGTTGTTTATGTGTAAAATAAGACTCTCTTTTATTCTTGACTAGAACCTCAACATCTTTATTCATCCATTGTTCCTTAATCTTACCAGCCTTACCCTTCACTCTAACAGGAACAAAATGCCTCCAAACTCGTCATCACACTCTTGAATGCATCCCACTTGTCAGACGTCCTTTTCCCTGTGAACTGTCTACTCCAATCAACTTTTGAAAATTCTTGTCTCATACCATTAAAATTTAACTTACTCCAATTAAAATTGTTAACTTTTATGGAAGGCTAATCCTTTACCATAACCATTTTGAAACTAATAAATTATGATCACTGGACTGAAAGTGTTACCCCACTTTTACTTCAGTCCCTTGCCCTGCCTTGTTGCCCAAAAGATGGTCTAGTTTTGCTCCTTCTCTACTAGGAGCATCCACATATTGATAAAGAAAATTTTCTTGAACACATTTGACAAATTCCTCACGATCCAAACCTTTAACACTATGGTTGTCCCTGTCAATGTTTGGAAAATTAAAATCCCCCATTATTACAACCTTATTATGCTTTCATATATCTGAGATCTCCCTACATTTTTGTTTCTCAATTTCCCTCTTACTATTAGGGGATCCTATTATACAATCCCATCAAGTGATCTTTCCTTTTTTATTTGTAGTTTCTACCCATAGATTTTCACTGGACAATTTTTCATAAATATATTCCCTAGTTACAGTAGTAATGTATTCCTTAATCAGAAACACCACACACCCCCAGCTTTCTTGCCTCCTTTTCTATCCCTCCTATAGCTTCTAAAACTCAAAACGTTGAGCTGCCAGTCTTATCCATCTCTCAGCTAAGTTTCTGTAATAGCCATGATTTCCCAATCTCACATTCTTAAACATGCCCTGACTTCATCAGCCTTACTTGTAAGACCCCCTGCATTGAAATAAATGCAATTTAGTTCTTCAGAGTTACTACATACTCTGACTTTCTGTTGTCTTTCCTTTCTAATTGATGTGCACTCCTCATATTCAGAACCTTCCCAATCAATCATTCCATTTGCACTGGTGCTCAGAATTCCTCCACTCCCCTCTCTATCATTATAACCTTTAGTGGAATGAGCAAAACTGCCTGCTAACACATTGGTCCCTTTCCAGTTTAGGTTAGACCCATCCTTTTTGAACAGGTCTTTTCTATCCCAAATGACATTCCAATTGTATAAAAACCTGAATCCCTGAACATTACACCAGCTCTTCAGCCATTGATTTATCTCCTTTAACCTTTTGTTCCTTCCCTCGTTCAAGTTTGGCATTGGGAGTAAACCAGAAATTACTACTTTCAAGGTTCTATTTTTTAATCTTCTACCTAACCTCTTAAATTCACTCATTGCTGCTTTAATCTTTTCCCTAAAAATGTCATTCCTACCAATGTGTACAATAATCTCTGGCTTCTCAATCTCACCTTTAACAATCTCCCCTCAGCAATTTAGGCTGCTGCTCAGTGTTATGCAGGAGTTGCACTTTTGGTGCATGATTAAATTTGATCTTGCAACGTACACATGATTGGTATCATAGTGCTGGTAGACAGATGTTCCATCCACCAGCATCACTACAGCAGAAACAGGCTCATGTGCTGTTGAAATAAAAACAGAATGTTAACACAGTACACCACTGGCCTCTGAAGTATCATACTGTATCAATCACTATTCGTTAATGTAAAGAGAAACACTCCTTTCGATTTTCTGCAATATGAAATTAGGTTGCTTTGAAATTGATAAAGGACACTTTAGCATCAAAGGAATATACTGTCAAAGAAACCAGAGATGTCACAGTAGAAAATGTAACCTAAAATATATTGCTGTGATTAAAGTTTATAATAAGACAGGATTCTCCACAGGCCAGACGGCCATTATTCCAGTGTAGATGGATGTTGCTCAAAGGAATTGCCTAGGAAATTAAATCTTCCTCTGGGCAATTCCTCTATGTCTAGAAACTGCCGAAAGTCTCCATTTAAGTCAAAGACATTGGATGGTCCAATGAAATTAACTAAAATAGTTCTCCAGGAAAGGTTAGGCTATTAAGTACATAGTCTAACACCTGAGTAATTATTAAAAACCCCATATTTATCTCTCACACCCTCAACCACCAGACATAACACTCCCAGGACCTGACATGCTTTCCCCAGTTCTGTGCTACAAAAACTATCAGAATAGAAATACAGCCCCACATTTCTAAAGGAGACCTAGGCTCAATTAACTCAGAAATGTGTAACTCTCTTTTGTAAAAACAAAGGGCAGGAGTGTCAGTCTGCATGGGATTACCACTCCCCAGAAAATCTATCTCAATGTTATTATGTGGGAATGCAATTTTTGTAAATTCATATCTACATGGGAGAATGTGTTCTGAATGCAACATACGCCGCCACTTTCATTTACCTGCATAAACTTGTTCTTTTATTGAAATCTTTTCTCAATTCACTTTGACCACATAAAAAGGTGTTACTATGGGTACCTATATGGGATCTGGCAATAACCATCGTTTTGTGACGTGTGGAACTTTCCTTCTTCCAATACTATTTGGATCCTGTGCCTCACCTCTTTTTCTGGTCCATGATTACTACATTGATCTTATTTCCTGCCCCTTACCCTAAACTGGAAAGCATCAACATTACTTCCAATTCTCACCGTCAGCTAACCTTCACAGTCAAATGCTATCTTGATTTTCAAGTCAGTCATTTTCATCTCACCTCTGGATTTCAGAGCTTTTGTGTTTGTGTTTGGACTAAGACTGTAATAAGGCCATGAGCTGAGTGACTGTGATAGAACTGCCCAAACTGAGCATCACTGAGCTGCTGGCTCCCGGCTAAGTGCTTCTTGGCACCGATAACCTCTTCCGTCATTTATTGATAGCCAAGAAGCTGAATTTGCTGGAGTGCAGAGAAAAGTCCCTGAACAGGACATAATCTGGGCATTTTTTCATTAAAAGTAGTTGATAGGACACTTTTCATTCCTTCTAGTACTCTTAAAAAGTTTGATTGTTGCTGACAGCCTGTTGCCTCCAAGTGTAGAACTAGGGGTCACAGTCTAAAGATAGAAGAGGTTGATCATTTACAATGGAAATGAGGAGAAACCTATTGATTAGAAGGGTTGTCAATTTTTATTATCCTCTAGGTCAGAAACATACACTATTATGCACTAAGGGATATAAGTGTATGTGGAATTAATGCAAAAGTTTAGTCGTCATCTTACTGAATCATGGAGCATATTCAAGGGGACATATGGCCCATATTTGCTCCTTTTTTCTGTATTTGTTCATCATCTGGACCATGAGGCAAGTCCATTCTGTCATTTGTCAAAAACATTTGAAAATGAGGAGACAGCTCAAACTGTTTCCTGAACAGTTACCAGGTTAATTATTCAGGCATATAGCCAAATATGCTGGAAAATACATAGGTATGGTTAGTAAGCACAGACTAAACATGCATAACTATATATTCCTCATAGTGTTTCCTTTCTTTAGAAAAAAAAAATCAATCTTTACAAAAGCTTCAGGAGTATGGGTTTGGAAACAAAATACCGGAAGACATGAGTAGTAATAGGCATTTCAGCCAATCAAGTCTGCTTCGCCTTCAATGACATCATGGTTGATCCAACAATGCTCAACACCATTTTCCTTTTTATTATAACCTTTGACTCAATTACTGATTAAAAATCTCTCTTAGCCTTATATATACACTTAACGACCCAGCCTTTTCAGCTTTCTGCGGTAAAGAATTTTACAGATTCACCACCATCACGGAGAAGAAAAAACATCCTGCCTAAGTCTGAATTAAATGGGTGACCCCTTGCTGTGAGATTATGCCCTCTGATCCTCGACCCTCCTACGAGGGAAAAGAATCCCTTTGGATCTACACTGTCAAGTCCTCCAAATTCTTAATGTTTCAATAAAGTTGGCTCTTATTCTTCTAATTTCCACAGAGTACAGGCCAATCCACTTGATCTCTCCTCATAAGACAGTTTCACCATAACTGGTGTCAACCTAGTGAACCTTCTCTGGACTGCCTCCTATGCCAGTATATTTTTCTTTGGACAAGAGGACTGGAACTGTTCATAGTATTCCAGCTGTGATTTGACCAGAGCTGTATGTAGTTTTGTCAAAACCTCCCTACTTTTACAGTTCATTCTTTGAAATAAAGGCCAACATTCCACTTGCCTTCCTTATTGCTTGCTGAACTTGAATGCTATGTTTTTTTAATGACTCTGTTTGATCATAAGAGTTTCCAAATGCTCTGCTATTACATCCGTTATAATAGACTCTTAACATTGTCCCAATGATAGATGTTCAGGTAACTATCGCTCCCTTTTTGAATACGAGTAGTTGGCAGTTTCCTTCTCAGTAGTCCCTTCATTATTTGACATGTTTGGAATGCTACTTGTATCCTCTACCATGAGGACTGATGCAAAGTATTTGTTCAACTCCTCTGCCATTTCCTAGTTCCCCATCACGGGTGCCCCAGCCACATTCTCTTAGGGCCCAATGTTCATTAAATATATGAAAAGGAAAAAAAGAGGCAATAAAGTTCTTATTGTCTGTTTTCACGTTACTTGCTAGTTTACCTTCTTAGTTTATCAGTGTCTTTATTACTTTTTGGCCTTTAAAACTTTCCTTCTGTGGTATTCCTAATCCTCTGGTTTACCATTAATCTTTTTTTCTTCCAATGTGGCAATCTACTACTATCCTCAACTTCCCTGGTTAACCAGGGTTGGTTTATTCTCTTCCTCTAATGCTGATTCATCACTAGGATATATCTTTGCTGTGAGTTATGAATTTCTTTTTTAAAAGACGGTTTTGGAATTACAAAGTTTAAGCTAAGAGATAAAAGGTAAAAAGGAAACACCAGGTATATATTAAAAATTAAACGTGGCATTAGAAATTATGAAGGTTTTCCTACAAGTGGAAAAGATATCCCTCCTGAAAATGCAACAATACCAAAAAAACCACAAAGATGTTCCCTACCAGAACTGGGAAGGCAGAAATAACTGAGGCATTAATACAGCATTTGGGTTTAATGGAAATACACAACAGGACCTAACTTCTGAAGGAAAAGCATCAAAATATAGCTCCTCTCCCTCCTGGGTGTGAAAAGTAACAGAATTCAGCTCCAGCTAGTTTTTCTCATCCACTTTTTTCCTGTAAAATTCCTCTGCTGAAGGAAGGTAAAAAGGAAAGCTTTCCAGACCATTTATAGTGTCAATTCAAATCAGTAACTGAAAGACTGAACTTTGGTGTAAACAATCTCGTGTTGCCAGCAAGCACCAAAAAGGTATCGAAAGAAACTGAACAGCTTCAAACTAAAACCTCTCACCGAATCCTGCACCCCAGGTTGGCACAATGGACTGTATTATCCCCTTTCCTTTCACCTTTAAAATCCATGTGTGTGTGTCGGTGTGCTTCAGCTGTTAAGCTGGGGTAAAGTTGCAGAGTTTGCAGTTAGTAATTCATATTTTTTGTTTCCATCAGTTAAAGGCGATTTCATATTAAATAGTCTTCTTCTGGTCAAATATACAAACCTAATGTAGTATATTCTTTTCAACCAAGTTTGTTAGTCAGATAAATTTGGTTTAACTAAATCTTTTCACATTTTGAAAACTTGTGGAATAGTAAGGCTTGATTTCCAGTAAGTTACCTAATGGGTTATAACAGTTATTTCTGGGGGGGCAGATTCACTGGGATTCCTTCAGTATAAAAGACAGCAATACACACACAAAAAAAAATGCTAGAATCAGAATGGGTTTTACAAAGCCAGTATATTAGGCACCATATGTCCATCCTGACTGACTGTTTGTTTCCCTAAATAACTATAACTAAGCGTAAAGGGATAAACTATGTTCTTTGCTGAACAGAGACTGTTCAGCATCAAAGACAGGAAGGTCAGAGGGTATAGTGAATACATGGCAAGAAGTGGGATTAGAACAAGCAATGGATTCAGAGGGAAAGGGCATGGAGGATGAATTTAGAGGAGCATCGGTATCTACCAGGCTTTGGAGCTCAAGTTGCTTAACCTCTCAAAAGAAGAGAATAATGAAATGGTACTAAGGACCAGCAAAGCTTTTAGATAGTGTGAAGCAGGACTGAATAGAGAGAGTGCACAGCCAAGTGTACATGTGTTGCTGCAAGACACAGTGTGGACCTCAGAATGAGAGGGAGCAGCTTTCTGAGGAACACTGTACATCAAAAATAACCTATAATCTTTAGTGGATTCAAAACAGTTAGAACTGTGGGTGGTAAAGCAGAGCCAGTCATCGAGGAAGCAAATATGACTATGAAAGCAAGTGTTTACAAATACTAGAAGGGAGACTGAAAGCAACAAAGGTAAATAAACTGTAAGATAAAATATTCAAGATGGATGTATTTGGAAGAGAAGTCGTCGAAGTCACTCTTATGGACAGACTGAAGGTGTTTTGCTAAGCTGTCACCCAGTCAGTATTTTGTCCTGCCAAAGTAGACTGCACTGAGAACATGGTATACTAGATTGAAAGAAGTGCACGTAAAATGCTATTTCACCTGGAAGGTGTACTTGTGGTCATAAATGGTAAGGAAAGAGAAGAACGGGCCTGTGTTACTCTTTCTGCA